ATTTTCTATACATTTGTAAATCCATTTTTTTTTTGTTAAAATATGTATTAAAATGTATCGGAACCCTTTTTAAATTCAATTTCTTATTTTAATATTTTACTTATATTAAAAACTGCAAATTTAAAAGAAATAAAATTCTTAAATTACATTCTTGGCTTCTTCCCTTAACTTATCAAAGCAATTCTGTAGCGAGAATAAAAAAATAACGGGATATACGATTAAATATTGTTTATGATCGCACTTCAAAGAAATATGTCCTTTTCTTGGCACTCCATTTAGCATTTATTAGGTTTAAACATTTCTATATAGACGGTTACAGGGTTTTAATGGAGAACATTCATATGATAAATGTAAGTACTTTAATTTATAGGATTTCAAATATTTATTTTTATATTTTACTTAATAAATATTACTTACATATAAGATGATAACATAATAAATGAAAAGAGTATGAGCTCAAAAAAAATATGATTTTTATAGTAAATTTAATAATATTTTTTAAGTTCTAATAATTTGCTTGATAAAAGTCACAATAGTAACTGTATCACGTACGTAGTGTCGTAGCTGCGTCTACGGATCTTTCGATTTCCTATTTTAGTTAGAATAAAATGTAATGCATATCATATGATGGATGAATTATTATAATTATATGACATATAATAATAAAGTTTATTTAGTACCATATAAACGTGATACATGTGTTTTCATAATACCGTTGTCGTCAAATAAAGCTCGCTCGCAGACGTGCGTAGTTAGATCCTAAACATTTACGAGAGCTACACAGAGCGGTTGAAGAGCAATTTTACTGCAGCTCGGTTTTATGTTATGAACAAACAAGCGTGCCGTGCTATCTTACTTACGAATAATAAAAACAAGGAAGAGCCATGAATCTCTGGCCACTTCATTTCTCCTCTTTAATATTATACGTGACCCTTAAAATTTGGAAATACGCTAAGAGTTAGCTTTTCTCATTGAACTTACCTGACGTGTTAGACAACATGGATTAGCTTCAAAGTGGTAAAGTTTTATTATGTTATGATTGCTTGCGAGATGAAGGAAGATGTGACGGCTGCTTGTGTTCCGAAAATTATAATACATATATTCAGTACGGGATAGTCGTTTATTACCGCTTTCATATTATAATGTTGCCTTCTACGAATTGTTATCGTACAATTATATAATAATATGTTATGACTTTATGAGTTATGACACATAACAATACAATATATTAGATACGAACTAGGTCATCCAAACTTTTGTTATTCATTTAAAATGGTGTCTTACAATAAATATATATGTTTTTATTATTTTTTTATTATTTTTAAGTATTATTATTTTTTTTAATTTTTAATTTCGTGGTAATGCCGAGGTATAATTATAAGAAGCAACATCTTTTATAAAACATGCACATAAATGACACATTTCTTTTTGCAACAAGAACATATTTTGTAGATAAAAAAATCCTGAGAGGGTTAAGTTTTAAAGCATTTTATAATAAATTATATCTCATTATTTAAAACATATTCATAAGATAATATTCTTCAGCGATTCTTTCAAAGTGTTAATTTATTTAATCAAATTCTTATTCATAGATAGAATTTTATCACAAATCGGTTTTGAAATATGGCGGGAAAATGCAAGTCATTTTCAATAATGTGCCTTTTCTTCGCCCAGACAAAGACTGAATTCATATCAACCCCACGAAAACAAATGATAAAAAATGCACAAAACATGCGCCATGGTGTCTCGGCAAACAGATTCGGCCCTTCCTGTTTAGATTTTGGAGGCAAACCGGAGCGGTCGGACACAAAGTTTTCCGGGGCATATGAAATTAGATCGGCTCTGTATTAGGATAGAAAGACAGGTAAATCGACTATTGGGATAAAGGGTGCAGGTAGGGGTCAGCTTTGGAGCTGAAAGGGACCGTTGCGTGCAGGCGGCGCACACCACCGCTTCGAATGACAATCCGGACATTGGTACAAAACAACTGGATGGAAAACACAACGAGACATCTTTAAGTTTTGGTGTTCAATAAGGAATGAGCTGCGCGGTAATTTAATAATTTATGATGCATATTGCATTTGCGATTTGTGTTTGGAAATAGCTATATAATTCAAGAAATTATTAAGGAATATGCTGTTGTTAAATAAGTTAAATTAATTTAAAATACACAGAGGAACTCAAATTTATCCCATCCGAAAAAGTAATACATCAAACACAATTACAAAAAAAGAAATTATAAGCTAATTTCTGGAATTAAATGCGAAAGTAAAAATTACTTCACTAATCCTACAATTTTGTAATGTTTTATTTTTATATCTAAAACATAAACTTTGAAAACTTTTTTTTAGTATAATAGAAGAAACATTCAAACCCGAAAAAAGTTATCATTGCTCTTAGGGCAATTTCTATATATATATATGTGTATTCGCATGGATTTATGAACAAAACCCATTTCATAAATAATTCTTGCGTTTTCTGGAAAGAGAGTACCCGCAAAGCTCCTTGAATGCGATTTCCGAACCACTTTAACGACCGCTTCCTGTACAATATAAATCCAAGTTAGAACAAGAAGTTCCCGGATGGCCGTTATCCGAAGACGTCCAATTTTGATAAAACAAACTACTGAAATTAAATTCTTTAAACCCATTTAAACTCAACAAACGAGCACGCACTCCGATTTTACAGAAGACGAATATTTTTTATAAAAATGTATAAAAAAATGTTTACATCATTTTCCACAATGTTTTAAATATTCCTCAATGAGGATTTTTACATCACAATGGATGTTTTGTTTAAAACGAATTATCTCCGTGTTGGGGGAGAACAGGCCCTCTGAAATGAAATTTTGCTAACATAAAGTGCCTGAGACGATTATAATGGACACTGGGGCTAAACTAACCCTGCGCATGGGATCCTCCGCACTCATGTTTCCTAAAAAATTAATGAATATTTACCGGTCACGGTTACGCTTTACTGAAGGCCTTAATTATTTTCAGATTACGTTTTGTGACCTCAATTGAGAGAATTGATCTCAAATGAAGTATCTCTTTATTAATAAACTTCTTAGTGTCATTTAGGTCCACTAACAAGATAAAGGAATCATTATTTTTTATTACATTCACAGATTCTGTCTGAAAACCAGTTTTATTTACGTTTTCAGTGTATATATTTAAGATTGCTTTATGCTGTATTCGAGTTCATAATGTAGATATACATTGTCTGATGAATTTGTGACAATAAAGCTTAATGAATGTAAAATAATAAAACGCTATTAATGTTTTCAATTCATCCGCTTATTCCATGCACGTTTCATTATCATACTATTTTTATCTTCTCCGTTTACCAGTATTTTCGTTAATTCACATTTTGCGGAATGAAGACCAATGCGTATCATTCAATTGCGTTTTTGTTAGACTCAGTATATTATTCCAGCACTTCGTAAGAATTAGTTCCACATTCACAGGGCCATACTAAACGATTTTATTTTATATACTAATTACAGTTCCAGCCGTTAGTGAATGTCATCTAAAGATTGCTTTGGGTTCTGGCTTCGTTTATTTCCACATTTTCCTTATATCAATTTAGAATTCCCCCAGGTGCGGGATTCGGCACTCGGCTTACAAGTATAATTTCAGTTTTTATTAGGGATGGCCACAATCCACTGTAGAATTGGTTAATTTTTGAACATCACATTTTATGAATCGTTAAAACCAGAGTAAGAAAGTAATGTCCGGATTGGTACAAACAGCAAATCGGAATGATTCCGCTCAAGTGTGTCACATAATTAATCGGAAATCCTTTAAAAAAACCTATCTAGCATTCGAGACTGAGTCGCATCAAATATGTAACGAGGGTTCTACGATGAAATCCTTTGTTAACGTCTACCGCGGACAGTTTTACGCAGGGGGCCGGTATAGCTGCGCTTAACTGCCTTATAAATTAGTGAAACTTCTATTAGCAAGAGTTTCGGCCAAACGGAATTTGCGTTATCACCAATGTCCGTTATCACGCGCCCCGCATTACGTAATGACTTCATTGTACGATCACTCTAAACTCGCCCCCAGCCCCGGCTTATAATTACGTCTTAAAATGAAGCTTTAGTTAGGAGAGGAGGAATACAACCTCGCCAATTTTCGACGAGGACCCTTTTTATATTAACGCGTTTTTCTCCAAAATTGCTCAGGTACAAATATATTTTCATCAATTATGATAAAAAGTGAATAATATTTTACATCAAAAAATATTAGAAAAAGGTCATAAATCTTACTCTCGTTACACGTGACTGCTGAGATCGCTAAGAAAAGTCGTGCTAGGGCTTAACCAACTTGTTTACGAAATTTCATATAAAAGAAGATGTGCTTCGTTGTTTTTTATAATAAGCGAGAGTGGTACTCCGAGTACTGGATTAAAGAGATCTTTTTGAAATTTAAAAAATGTAGTAGTTTGAAAAGTGTTTAAGTAATATTTTTTGAGTTTAATTATTATTTTTAGCCAAAAATAATAATAATGCAGGAGCAGCTGTGTTTTGGGGCTTAAACAAAATAATATTTCGCCATGACTAAATTAAACATGTAATATTTTGTTGTGTTAAGCGTCTTTAAATGGCTTCAAATTAGTTTGAGGACTCAACCTTTTTTAGTGTACAGTAAAACGATAAAAGTAATTTAATTATTCAATTACAAAACAAAGAATTACACTTCAAATGAAACGATAATAATTTTATACTTTAGGTTTTATTTGTGAGTATAATAACAGTAGAATAATACCACAATGTATTTTTATTTACACACGTGTACACATGTATCTTGACTTTAATTATTTGATGATAGATGTTTGAACATTGCATATGTAAGCCATATAATAATCATTTAATATGTTAAAGATTATTTTTTGATATTAAAAATATGGTAATGGTATAAGCAACAAGTCCATCGTGAAAACTCTTATTAAAGAATAAAATATATTTTCCATATCTTTTGTGATATGAGGGCAAAAATTCAATTTTTATTATGTTGTAATATTCCCGTGGCCTCAGCAGCGGGGTGTCGTAAAGCCTGAGCCGTGGTCGTAAACTTGTACAAGGCACTAGAGTATAGAGTCATACGCTGACCCTGTCTTCCCGCGTCACACACATTGTTAGCAACGCTACCCATTATGTGATCTAGCAGTTTTGTAGTTTCATGTCTTATGAATTTCTTCCTTACAACTTCTACTATTGGACCAATTATTATCGACAATTCTGAAAAATAAAATATCTTTGTTTTATACAAGTATATAAAAAATTATAATCCACAATTACAATAGAATAATTTCCAGCCGAAACAAATGAAATTGAACAGCATTAGTATCAAATAGAATAAGGTGGATTAGACAATATCCGCATACAGCAGCGGGTGTTGCGGACGGAGAGGTCTCCCGCTGTAACCTTAACATTTGTGTCCGTCTGAGTAAATAACTTAATTACAACAAATATTTGACATTTATTTTGTGATGAAAAGTAGTAGCGTATTTTGTTGGTTTTAGGTTTTTTTATATGTGAAGGAAAACTCTAGAATTCTTATATAAGTAATTGTCGTAAAAGCGGGAAAAATTCGACTTACGTTACTCTAATACCTAGAAGTTTCAAGAAGAAGCTACTTTAAATCGGTGCTCCATTAAAAGTATTCCCGAAAACAGCATAAAAGAGCTTATACGATACGAAAATTCTTTACGAAGAAAAAATAAGTAGTATGTTTAGTTAGTGTGTAGTAGTAGTTCGGTAAATGAACACGTTGCGGTAGCAATTTCCTACAACCCCGTGTATTATTACAAAGCTGTAAATCTTGTTGGAAGCACGTTTAATACATTTCAGACACACTGCAAAGAAAATATTTGTTTTCAAGGAAACTGCGTTTCACATCATCATTACGTTGTGTAATTTTTTCGTATGTGCCATTCTCATACCAGCACTTTTATGCCTCCCTTTCATAAAGACAAAAGGGACTTTGAAGTAAAATCACGTACATTTTTTGCAACTTTACTTAGTAGAGATTCAGCCCCTTGGCTTCCATGTTAATATTTTCTGAAAAACATTGCGGGGACAACGCATGGAAATTACATTTAGATATTTGTTCGCTACGCGTACAGCGAGTGCGGGTAGGGATATTATATTTTACGTGGCAAAGAATGTAATAAAATGTTTAAGGACCTGACACCCACAAAACTCACTCGTGCGCCGAGCTAGAGCCATCCGTCTCGATTGATATTATAATAGCGAATTAATTATTAAATCAACTCCCCAATACGTGCCGATACATCTTAATGATATTTCAGAGGGTGAGTCATAATTGAAAACAGTCACAATTTACTTACTTATTTGTATATGATATTGTTAACATAAATATCATTAATAAAATTGAAGGACAAAGTTTGCAATTCAATATACTAAGTGATTGAGATATGAAGTGCAGTAATTGCGTCGTTTGGTCGCAGTACTCCAGCGTCCGTCCTGGAGGGCTGAGGGAGATGTAGGTGGAGGGAGGTGGCGGGGGACGACAGATAAGTAATAATGCAGTTAAGTGGCAGTCCGCACATTCGGTCTCCCGGCGGCCTATCAAACTGCAATATCGTTTTATGAGCCTAGTTATTCGACCGGCAACAAACATTAGCGATGTCTTGCTGAATGCCTCAACTATATCCTTGTACTTAGTTGATTTGCTAATGCAAAATTAATGAGTTCGGTACCTAAAAGACAGCAGAGGTTTGATTTGAGATCATGAGCCGAAATAAATTTAGTTAACCGAAATATATTTATTTTGAATTACATAATTTCAGATCTTTATTTTTCATTTAGTATTTGAAGATTTGGTTTTATTGTAAAACTATTCTTTTATGACAAGGATATATAATTTTTCTTATAATTTGCTAAATGTCAGAAATGTCAAATAATAAAAAAAGCGTTTTGAGCAAGGATATTGCTCTTACCGACAATTCAGAATACGAGTGGCCCATAACCGTCGAAGGGTTCATATCGTCCGACATACTCATGTCTAACAGACTGGGAAATCGTAGGTTAATAACAAAAATATAAATATACTTTGTGGATAGTATTTTTAATTAAACACAGCGATGTTTCTTAGAAAGCGGCTTCAGATAAACGCTACGTAATGAGATCTTGTCTGTGAGTCATAGCTCTCTAGGGGGCGTCCTCGACTCATACTCGCAAGGATCACGACCGTTGGGAATCGTCTCGGCGCCCTCATCACTTGGCACTCTACGAGTGAATAATGTAACTTATTCAAGTGTGTTTTTAAGTATTGAACTTGAGACGTACCATTATTAATAATTTAAAATAACTTTGTTTTCTATATAAGTTCTCTAAACACACTTTTTTATGTGGTTTGCCTTAAGATAAAATATTTGATTATATACGCTTTAATATACGACGTCAATGTGACATTTGCGATGTAGTTTACATTCAGGAACATGGGATTAATGACTCTCCGAAGTGACGAAGAGCTTCTTATATCTATGACTTGTATTATGAAATAAGTTGTTGTTAGCATTCAAAGACAGTAGGTTCGGAGGTGACATTTTTTAGGAGAATATTTAAGTGTTTGAGGAAGTTGCGGAGTTCGTAATTAGTTAGCGGTTCGCAACCGGCAGGTGGCTCTGCTGTCTTTGCAGATATCATCACGTCCTATAACTTTTTTTCATTGACGCGTACAAGAACAACTTTTCCATTTCTTTTATTAACATTGTAACAGAAAATGAGAGTAGGCTTTATTAGAAACTGGTACCTGATGGGTTTGCGTAAAATATTATTGGCTGTGTCGCGATGTGCGGCCTTTTTATATAAGTTCGTATATATGTATGATATTCATCTTTGCTTTTTACATTACTTATTATTTTACATGTTTTTAATATTTAACGTCTTAATTATAATAGAGGTACGTAAATACATACCCAGTAATTTATTTTCTTAGTTTTGTGAACATGTCGCGAGCTCATTAGTAGACTTCGGAGAAGTTGTTAGTTTCTCTTCTTAACTTTCCCTTAAATCGTAAGTTCGCCTTCTCGTTTGCTTCTAAATGTGTTTTGGGTGTAACTGAATTTTTAAATTTATAATATACTGAGTAAATATTTCAAAATGCCTTTTATCGGCTTAGACTTTAATATTAACATGATTTTTTTGTACTTTTTCTAATAAAAGGTCTACTTTAAAAATAAATTTACACAAATACATCCATCGACTCTTTATTTCATAAAAACAAAATGGCCCGAACTCTTACTCACCGAAAGTAGCCTTTTAAGTAGTTAATGGTATTTCTTCAGTAAGGCAACTTGTAAAATTCCAACTTCTTAACCTTTAATGAGATGTATAAAAATAGAAACCTTGTTAAAAATAAAAATCATTTGCTCTTTTGACTGATGTTGTAGAAATTATCTCGGTAATATAGTTTAATGTGAGCACAACGAAAAGACGCATAAAAACGGCGGTGGAAGGTATAAATTTTGCGTATTTTCGGGCACAGACAAAATAGCCCCTCATTTTTTCAACACTCACCTTAGCTGAAATTTGTCTGAGATGAAAACCGTTTAACTCGGGTTATAGCGTTAAGATTACATTGAAAGTTACAAACCTCTTATGATTTTAAGCCAGATTTAAAAAATTGGTAAATCAAATCGAAGTCTTCTTATAAAATTATGTTCTTTGAAAATTTTAATTTTCTTTGTTTGATTTCATCCTTAAACCTCATTATTGCTAATATTTATTTCTTTGAGGTCCTTTAAAATATTTTCAGTCCATGAAAATTTTTGCTGTCATTTTTTTTTGTAAAAATATGTTTTTTCCAAATCTTTACGTAATAAATTATTGTTTTTTACCTTTCCAATCCATGTTAATTAAAACGTCATCAATCTGTTTCATTAACATAACCACAAGATTTAAAATAGGATGCCTAAAAGCTCTATTTGAAAATTTTCGCAACAACCACTTCGATTACTTAAATTTCAGTTCAAACAAAGAACAGTTATTCGCTTAGATAATTTATATGTGTGGAGCGAGTTACCGCGTCTGTTTCTTATTTTGTAAGTTATGCACGCGTTGTAAACAAAATTGTTTTCTTTCAGTATTACAGTCGGGAAACCAAATAATATTTGAGTTACCATAATGTGCTTAACTTTCACGTTACGTTCAAAACTCGTTTTTTTGGATAAAAATCTTTTTGATGATGGAAGAACAACTTTGGTTATGAATATTTTTTGAATTGTATTAAATAAATAGTTGCCATGTACTTGAAAGGCGGTGATCTAAACTTGGTAGTTCTCAATAAAAGAAATTCTGATTGTTTTAAATAATTACATCGTCTCTCGTTAGTATTTTACTTATTTTTTAACAGGTATTAAAGTCATTTGCAACGAATTTCTAATATCCTTTAAGATATCATCATTCGCTGGGGTAATATTGGATATAAAGTGAAACGCTAAACTTTTCAAGTAGTACCCGCAGTGCGCGCCTCATGCAGTGGCGTTGACACCGGCGCCCGCGGGGTCGGCACGCGACCAATTATTTAATACTACCATTCGCATATTTCCTACTACAAACCCCCCTTTCCCCCACGTTCTACTGACCCAATGAAATTTCAAGTTGAGTTTTTTTAACACGATAGATTTAACCACCATGCCTTGCCAAATTAATGCACCAGTTTGGAGATGCTTTTTGGGACTATTCTTTGCAGCGCAGATATTTAAAACATCGCATAAATTATACGATAAAACTTTTAGGTATTGTTGGGAAAACAGCAATACATTTTTTAAGACATTTATGAGTTGCGTGTTAGTTAAGTAAGTTATCCAATTTGTAGAATAAATATGTTAAAGGAATTTGCTACATTCCGTTTTTTTAAATGATGAAATCAATGTAAAGGCATAAAATAACTTTTCAATTTATTAATTTTCTTGAAACACAAACATCTTGTTATTCAAAAAGTTTCCTTTATCCTCATTCAATATATAGCAGCTAAATGAATCTTAACAAAAAGTAATCTTGTTTTTAATATCATAAAGTAGGTGGTATATTAACGAAAAGTGGGGTATCGAAAAAAGATAACATTTAAATAACATCACCCCAGCGATCACTTTCGTTTACGCGTGAATGGCAATTGGTTCCATGAAATCTGGCCTCTAGGGCACTTAGTAATCAACCCGAGGTTCGATTGCAACACAGTTTCCCTCTTGCAAGGAATAAAAAGATCCCTATCGGTTGCCGGGGGCGACGAGATCGTAATTTGTGATGACGACAGTTTAGAATTAGTAAGGTGCTAACATTTAATCCTATAATTTCAGATATCCCTTTATGGGAGAAAAGACCCTTTTGTCTATCACTCTTCATGCTACATGATGTTTGAATTTGTTTATTATTTAACAAATTCTTAATTTAAATTTGTAAAACATGTAAATAGGCAATGTAGCAATTGATTAATTTATCTTTTTGATGTGTTAAAACTATTAATATAATTAAAATATTTTTATGCAGTTTAATAATCGTGCACTAAACTTTATTCTTATCATACATGTATATAAAATACTTATTATAAAGAAGTCCTATCGGATAATTCTTTTGTATTTATTTTTTTCATTACATGATTGAGGATGACGTAGCATGATTTATAAGCTTTCCCTAACAGTTCTTTCTTATTAAGCTTTACACTTATGTATTCTTAGAGTATTTTACTTTTTTAATATTTACATATTACATTGCATCTAGTTTTGATGGACTGTTTTTTAATAAATAAACAGTCATAATGACAAAATAGCTGTGTTTTTATAACATAATACCTATGTATATCTGATCAAATGTCTATGAACCTCTGTATGGAGTAATTAGCCTTCTAACGGTGAGCGCGTAATAGCAAATTAAAAGGCTCTCGTTATCATATTGGATAAACGTGGTTTACTCTTATAATTATTATAAAGAGTAAAAGTATGATGTGAAAAGTATAAAGTTTCTATTATTAAATCATCTGAAAAAGTACTTTTTTTTTATCATATAATCCTATCCCTGTTGCCACTATAGTAAAATAGTAACGTTATCGTTTGGTATTCCGAACGTATGATTGGTTTATATCAAGTTTTTATGGAAACGATATGTATTTATTGGTTCGTTTTGACAATGTTTTGTGTATAGGCGAATATTTAATGGCATGATGCTTGGCAGATAATTTATTCTATTGTCAGTTATAAATACGATAATATCAAGATATACCGCTGATATTATAAATGCAGGAATGTATTAATAAAACGAATCACAGTTTTTTTTCATAGTTTCTTCCTAACTACAGTTGACTGAATTAGCTGGCCATTATCCTAGTTATAGTGTAGCTCATTATTACACATTACCGGTATCCTGTTTCATTTTACTATAAAGTCTACAAAAACAGGAATTAAAAACACCTTCTACATTAATAAACATTCAAATTAAACTATAAATCAGTTCAGTCTTTAAAATTGATTCTTATGTGTATGCGACATTCAATGAAAACAGAATATTATTATATTTTGTTTTCAATAAAGCAGTAAAATGTTATTAAATTACGATACGTATATACGAAAAACAATAAATTTATCAATGCATATAAAGATGGAAATTGAATTATAAAATTAA